TTTGTCGGGCCATCTCCATATGATGTTTTTGTAGAAAATATTCCACCGCTCTTATGCCAAATTTATGTGGTATTGATGTATATAGTGATTCGACGTCGATTCCTACTAGCAATATATCTTTTCTTATTTTTATATCTGATAAATTCTTCAGAACATCTTTGGTATCTTGAACATATGAGGGTAATTCTTGGACCATGTTTTTGAGTAGGGCATCCAGGTATTTGCCCAGGTTCTCTAAGGGTCCTCCCACCGCTGAGACGATAGGTCTTCCTGGGGGGTTGTTTGGATTTTTGTGGATCTTTGGGATTATGTAGAAGGTTGGAATGTTAAATTGTTTTATCTTTAGATATTTCAGTTCTTTTCTCGTGAGGAGTGACGCTTCATATGCGATTTCAATCTTGAAATTAAAGTCTGCAACCAGTTTTTTGAACGGGGATTCTTTAAGTTTCATGTATGTTTCTGTATCTTGCAGGAGTCGTTTCACTTCTGCTACATACATTGTTTCAGGTAGTAAGACCACATTGCCTCCTTTGTCGCTGTTTTTAATCACAATATCTGGCACTGTTTTGAGTTCTTTCAGTGCCTTTCTTTCCGATTTGGTTAGGTTGTCTTTCCCTCTTATTGACCAGTCAACTAGTTTCAGATCATTTTGGACTAGTTCCCTGAATAGGGCTAGGTGTCTATTATTTAGGATGTTTGGCATTGTTCTGGATTTCTCTTTAAGTTATGTTATCCTTTTCGTTTCCATCTCATCTGGTTCCTGATATTGCATATTCTCCTCTAGGAGGTCCTCTAGGTCTCTAAGGGCTTGTGTATCGAGTGTTTCATCATTTTTATTATTTCTAGAGAAGAAATCGATATTGTCTCCTTTATTTGTATGTATATATCTAAGATAGACTCTTCTCAGGAATAAGTTGAGGTCCTTGAAGATGGTAAATTCGTCCATGCCGTCTGCTGGTGAAAAAGACAGTCCCCTTTTTAGAAGGTTGATATGGTGTTCATTTAGTTGGAATTCTGTTAAGTTGATTACGTTTTTAGTTTGTCCTCCTTCCTCTTTTGCACAGGGGGTTTCTATCTGTGGCTTTTTGTTCTCATTATGGTTTTGTACCGAGTTGGTTGGTTCCGATTTTCCATGCCTTCTTTTTCGGTGTCGTCTTTTCTTCCTAGGTTTTTTGGCCGGACTGGTTGTTCGTCCTCTCTCATATCTAAAAAACTGACCGACTTAGTTGGGATATCCGTTTCACTTTTGCTAGAGGATGGGCCTGTCGTCCATCTTTCCCTGCTTCTATAGGGTCTTATTCTTTGAAGGCTTCTCCCTCTATTTTGAGTTAGGTCAAAGGGATCCCCTCTTTCCCAGTCATCCATTTCCCTTTGATACTTGGTTTGTTTAGTTTGTCTTAAGTTTTTCTGAATCCGTTCAACTTCTCGTTTTAAGATGTCGTTAGATTTTTTAAATAGTTCAAGATCCTTTAGGGGTTCCAGTGCCTTTGCACTTTCCTCAATTTGCAGTTCCAGTTCTTGCATCTGTATATTTTCTTCCTCTATATTGAGTTTCAGGATTGCAAGGCCATGCTCTGTGCATTGTTTATTCCACTTCTCCAGGAATCTGTCATTCTGCAGATGTTCGGCTGGTACCGTTTTATCTCTCAGACCTCTGGGGATCATGCCCGCCTTTACATATGATTCCAAGGACATAACATCCAATTTTCTGTTTAGGTGTTTGATGATTAGTTTCTTATGTTGTCTGAACTTTCCTCGTATTTCGTTCTCCATAGCTTGTGCTCGTGGACTGTCTCTTCTAAATGCCTCCTTTATTTCTTCGTCAATTTCATTATTAGTTCTAGCTGACCTGTGACAATGAGACTGTCACAGGTCGGCTCAGTAGATTGGGAAGTGAGCGAACACATACCGGTGTTCGCTGACTTCTCGATCCTGTCACGGCTCTGCCCTGGTCAGGCAGGGAAGTTAGCTTTGGGGGGTTTCAAGGTTTAATTTTTGTGAAAACAACAGCCTAGGGGGTTGAAAAAAGGGATAAGGGGGAGGGAGAGAGGGAGAGATGGAGAGAGAGAGAGAGAGATGAGAGAGAGAGAGAGAGAGAGAGAGAGAGAGAGAGAGAGAGATGCTATGATGTTTGCATGTGAAGCCTACGGTGCAGCCTGATGGCTAAATATCAAAGCTGCATATTATTATTAAATATTATTAGGTAGATTTCATTTTTACCTAACTACAAATAATGTACATTTTTTTTGGCTCTGAGCATCATAAGTACAGAAAGAAAATATGTACAAGACCACTATACACTCCCTTTAATCTGCTCACTGAACAGCTAAATTTATTTATTTATTTTATTACAGGTATTTATATAGCGCCGACAATGTACGCAGCGCTTTTACATTCTAAATAAAACTATTGTCCACTGCCTACTATTAATTACAGCATATCATTGGGCTGTCTTTGTTTCCAAATAAGCTACACAATTTCCTATCAGTTCAGAAGCATGAAAGGATCAGAAAAATGAAGTTAGTGTTCATATAGTGATCTTTTTTGTGTTCATATTGTTTCAGCTAAATACACTTCTAAAATTTCAGATAATTCCCTACATATTGTAGCATACTTGTTTAAGGCATGAAAAACTAATTTACAGTAGAGTGAAGCAGAAGGCATAAGAGAAGAAAAGGCAGAGACAAAGCAGACAGGTGTTTCCCTAAAAACCTCAGCATGGTTAGCACTAACAGTACAGGAAATTGATCTCCAGGGTCAGCAAATTGTTAGTATCTCTAATGCATTTTCTAATTCCTACTGTGCAAAATCAGCTTGTAAAAACAGGCCCTTGCTAACGAGTGCCTTGTCTAGACTTCCGCACCATTTTATTTCAGATGACTAATAACAAATACTCTACTGTATGTCCTATTTGACATTTAAATATCTGTACTTCCCAACTTTGGTACCAGACTAAAAGAACAGATATGTCCTCTTAAAACATAATGGCTGCATTTTTTTTGTATGTAATTTGCATGTAAATATTCATTGATGTAAAACTAAACCAGGTAACCTACCAATGAAGCAGCCTATGTATTTTCTTTTCATGTCCTATACTTTCAAAAATATATTTTTCGAAGGGGATAAATGAAGAAAAATTAGATCCTCTTTTTGTCAGTAAAACATTTCTTTACAAATCAATTTATTTGGGGAAAGAGAGGCTTTAAAAATTATCTAATTACTTAAAGGCATAAGTGTCTCTAAGCTAAATGTCTTTAATTTTGTTCCCAGGATCACCATCGTTTATCTCCAGGATGGTGATGAGTTGGTGAATATAAAACTCATGTTTTCCAATCTCCTTGGCTTTGAATAAACTTGGAGTGCTGTGACTTTGAGTATCTAGGTTCATGCTCAGTGTAATGCTGGGTGACAACACATATAGTACTCATACTCGTGAATATGCCCCGATACAAAGCGCCGATACGGGTGCTTTACATTTTTAAATACAAGTGTCTGCTGGGGAGCTCACTCCAGCCTTCTGTGGACCTCGCAGAGCTGCTTACATCACCTCCTTCCTGTGGAACCATGCTGCCCGCAACCACCACAAAGCCATCCGGACCCCTGGTGAAACCACGCACAGCCCTGGTGAGACCACAAAGCCCACCTGAGAACCCACACAGCCCACCTGAGACCCTGGAGGCATCAGGCTGCCACTCCGGAGCAACACAGAGTATGTAGCTTCATATTATTCTGCATTGCTGTATAATGTACTGCTGGGATTTGGAGTCCTCTATAGCCGATGCCATTCTGCATTGCTGTATCATGTATCACTGGGGTTTTTAATCCTCTATAGCTGATTCTATTCCGCATTGCTGTATAATGTATTGCTGTATCTGTAATTGGCATCGGTGAGTACTCGAGCAAAAGTATCGGCACTCGTACTCAGTCTGGAAAAAATGGTATTGGTGCATCCCTAATTAGTCCCCTACACTACATGTATTAGGTATTTTCACACAAGTTGAAGCATAAAAATAAAAATAATTTTAGGAGCATTGCTTTAGTATAATGACCAAATAAATTATGTAGTAAAAGATAGTAATTTAAAAAAAATTACATAAATGTGTTATTCTATTATTACATGACAGAAATTCTATCTTTTTGTAAAAATATGGAAAACCATGTTTTAGTGTGCACGAATAAAGATTTGTTTACGATATTTTTATTTAAGATCTTGTTTTGGTTAAGTTTTGCACAACTATTATGAGAGGTACAAAACTTATTAAATTTAAAATAAAAATTGCCACTTTTACTGCTATAGATTGTGCACTTTCAGATAAAAAACAGGACAGGGCTTTTGCATATTATTACACTTTTCTTAGGGGGGCTCTTCTCCGATGCAAACTCTCATTTCTGCAATGGGTATTTAAAAATTAGAAAGGGTCAGGAAAAAAATGTCTGAGAATCAACTTTGGAGCCAACACAAAAGTTAAAATAAATTAGTAGGGCAACAGGATGCAAAAGGTGCATTTTAAGTGACAACAAATGCTTAAAGCTGGCCATACACCAGTAGAGTTTTGTTTGAAAATATCCTTTTTTAGAACATTCCTTCGATTTTCTAACAGTTAATGGGGCCAAATTGGCAACCGTTTTTGACCATAGTGATGAAAAAAAGCAAAGGAGCAGGATAGAACATTTTTTCTAGAAGGAACAAAAAAATAAATGTGGTTTTTGGTCAGGAAACTCCATTAATTCCAAATGTTAAAACCAAACACAAATTTGAATGACACTCATCAAGATCTGGTAGCATTATGGAATGTTCTGATTTGCTTGCATGAACTTTGCATAAAAATGTATGGCCAGATTAAGGCTTGGTTCCTCCATCCGCACTGAACTGACTTCTGTCGAATGGAGCAGCGCCTACTGGGCAGTACAATGCACAAATTTCAGAAGACTAAAATTTGATAAGTGCTTCAATTACAAAGATCCTTGGTTGCTGAGGTTTTCAGATTTTAATATCTTACCTTCCTCTTTCAACAGCCAAAGCATCAATTTCATCAAAGAAAAGAACTGCTGGCGAGACAGCTCTTGCTTTCCTGAATATCTACAAAAAAGAACCAAAGCATTGCATTAGAAATTGTACTCGGAACAATTCCAAACAAAAGGGGAAGCAATTCACTGAGCTACTCTTGCTATCAGGTAAAGAAAGTAACCAAATTCTTTCAAAACTTAACTTACAAAGTAATAAATTACACTGTACGTCGTCAGTCACGAAGGGGTTAAAGTGACACTAAACTCAGGAGTTGAATCTTAAAAATGCATTCAATACCTTAACTAGTACCAAAAATGTATCTTATTAGTGTATCACTCGGCTATAGCTCCTTGAATCATCTCTGAATTGGTGCTGACACTGCCCTTCCTTCTGGAGGGTGTCTACTTTTGTTCACCATGGTCCCTGTGTGTGTTGCAATGTAGCCACCGGTCCAAGCTTGCTCCTGTGATGGACTACAATCTCAGTACAGATTAGAACACTAAATGTGAAATTATAGTCCATCATGGGAGCGAGCTAGGAGCGGTCATTACTTTACAAAGCATTCGATTCCCTGCAAATCAAATAAAAGTCAGTAGTTAAAGAACTCGGACAAATGTTAACTGCAAGGGTTGAGTGCTCGTTTTATCTAGGAGGCTAAAATAACAGAGTTATTCTCATCCGAATCACGATCCCAGCTGGCTGCTAGACCGGTAGTTTCAGCCCCTCTCCCCCTCTGCTCCAGTGATGGAATGTCCGTCGGTTTCCTCAAGTCCTATACACTGTATTGGATGTGACAACTCACTGGATCTTAGATCATGGTTTGGGTGTGTATAATTCTGTTAACCCCTAGACAAAACGAGCACTAAACCCTTGCAGTGCGGGGTAGCCCCACTGCAAGGGTTAAGGTTGTATTTGCCAGAGTTCTTTAACCCTTTCATGACTGAGCTTTTTTCAGCTTCTGTTCCTTAATGACTGAAACACTTTTTACATTTTTGCTGTGTGATTCTTTCATGGCAGTAATATACTTTCTTACTAAGTGCACCCACACATATTATATATTGTTTTTTAGAGGACAGATATGGGCAATATGATATCACATATGTGTGCCTAACACCTTAGGATGAATAAAATATAAAAAAAGAGGAAAAAACTAAGAAAATACTTTTTTGATTATTATTGTTTTTTAGAAAAATAGTACAGCTAAAAAAATGCATCAAAATAAATTCATTTATTTGGAAACACCTCACATCCCTAGGATTTGAGAAATGTTTTTGTACTTCTCAGCCTCACAACAAAAAGCTAACATTTTTTTCCCTTTAAAACCTAATGGTGGTTAGGTGGCATACAATGTCACTGTAACTAAGTGTCAATAACTGTCACACTTAGTGACAGCGACATACTTTGAACAAGGCTGTCACGAGGGGGCTAAATAGAAAAAGTAACCCCTTGGGGTGAAATACAAATCTGCAGCTGCAGATTTTCAGTGTAAGGAGTTAATTTGTATAATAATTATAGGATAAAATATATTTGTAAATATGATTTTTATTTTGTTAAAGTATTTTATTTTCTTTACACTTTTTCCCCCCAATTTTTTGGTCTATGATATTAAGTAGCCACTATGACTGCTTGATCATTTAATTATTTGAAAAAAATGTTGGTTATTATTAGGCTGCTTCAAACTTAGGAACAGCCAATAATAACCTTAGTGACTGATGCAGCATGTCAGGATCAGATGTCACTAAAGACTTCTGATACAATGTTTTTTGTTACAATGATACAGTGTTTCATTGCACTACATACTTCTATGCTTCATAGAAATTTGTAGCAATAAGCCAGTACACATCGGGATCGGTACAGAGCAGTCAAAACAGATCCCGATATGTGCAGAGCTGTCAAAATAGTGATATAGCAGAGATTTTTTTTAAACATTTTTTATTTTTATTTTTTTATTATTAATTTTTTACTGTTGGGGGGCTACGGGGAAATATTAGGGGTCTAAACAGACCCCTGACATTTCCCTTTTAAAATAGAGATAAATAAAATAGGACACCAAATTCTCAATTTCTTTTCTGCAGCCTCAGCACTCAATGAATGGGAAGCACTCAGTACAGAGGCTTCCCATTCATTCAGACACTGATCATAGTAAAATGTTTACTATCAACAGTTTCCGAATGGGAGGAGCCTCTTGTGTCGGCCGCCTGGCGCATTTGTTGCCAATGGCGCCCTGTGCGGCCGCACAGCTCGCACACCCCTAAGGCCGGCCCTGGTAATTATGTACTGTATATGACAGTCAAACCTCATAAATATCAGAAAAATACATGATTACAAACCAAACCCTAAGTGTACTGCAAGCAACATTAAAACAATATTTAAACTTACCTCCCGTACTGCCCTTTCAGATTCACCAACATATTTATTCATGAGCTCTGGCCCCTGAAAAAAAGTTTAAAAGTTGTGTAAATAATTATAAAATCTCAAAGGAGAGATTTTGAAAAAACTGATATATGAGTTTCAAACCTCTCCCTGATTCAGTCAAGTGTCTGTGAGGTTTATCTACCTGCACCTTTCATTGAGAGGTACCAGATTTGGGCCCTGAAATGCTGGCAACTGTAAACAAGTGTAAACCTTTAAAGCATAGGCTGTGCTGTTTTTTATTTAATGCAAATGGGGATTTGCCTTTGAATTGGTCATTTCAAAGAATGGTGTGAACCACACGGTCCAAACATGGGAGGAGGTCTACAGTTTATCTTTTCCAGACCATCCTCTCTCAAAGCTGATGGTCCAATCATCACCTGCCTCTCTCAATACATGAATGATCATCCCAAATGAGATCTTTGCTTAGAGAACAAAAATGGATCATCTTATTTGACCTCAACAAAAACTACTAAATACTGTACATAAAGGGCTATTTTTCTCCTTCTTATAGTAAACCTTTAAAGCATTTATTTAATGTCCTGTTACTACAGACTCAAGAAATCTCTTACCACACAGCCTTCTGATTTAGTTAAGCAGGACACAATGCTTACAAAGCTAAGATTTTTGAGGGTCAACTGAATATTCTAAACCAACATTTGACAAATGCTGAAAAGGTAACCTCCTGCACTAAATACCACTTTTTCGTAAAGGTAAGACCCAGTGGGCCTAAAACAGGCACTCCTTTTCCCATTCTTCTAGACAAACAAGGTCAACCTTCTTCTAACCCTCAAGTGTAAATCTTTCATTAATATTATTTATTTCGGTACAATCAATCCTACAATGCATGTAACAAAGGATATTGCCAGGTTCTTGTAAATCTGTAACCTCCTATCATTGACCTTGGAACTTCTTCTTTTAATTAATCCTATTTCCAGAGACATTCTTCAAACCATGAACAGTTCTAAAAACAGCAATTCACCCGGTTCCGGTTTACTACTTAAAAAAATCTTTACTTAGTTTCATATATGGAAGATATTTTCAGGGAACTCTTTTGTCATTTGAAAATGGGTATGTCAGGTAAGTCAAAAAGTTAATTCACACTGCAAGAACCACAGGCCAATATCCAGGCTAATTACTGGTATAAAGATCTGCACAAAAATATTGATTTACAGGGTTATTCACAAAAGGGTGAAGGGTTTGGAGAAGGCAGGAGAAGTGAACAATCTAGGACAACACAGCTGAACTGGAAAGTGAGCTGAATTGGAGAATTTTTCCAAATCAGCTATTTTGTCCTAGATTGTTCACTTCTTCTGCCTTCTCCAAACTATTCACCCTTTAGTGAATAGCCCTGTAAATGTTTTAATGCACGTTCCCCTTATTGTTTAACCCAGTTCAAGTAGAATTTATTCTGGGTCATCTAACAGTCAATATTTGCACTGTACAGTCAATATGGTACATCATGCTAATACCACAATTGCTCCTGTAATAACCTTAAAGTGGGTCTATACCCAATAACTGGATTTTTGACTCACCTGTAAAATCATATTCTTAAGGTAAGTACAGCACACAGGCTCCTTTAATCATGTTACATGATTATATGCAGCCACCTTCAGGTGAATGGACATTGGCAAATAGAATTGTGGGATAGCCCATATAACCTCTCCCACTCCCAGCAATCCTCAGTTTTGTAGAAAGCAATGAAAAGAAAACCGCCAGGACAGAAGGGAGTGTCCTGTGTCCGGTGTCCTGTACTGTACTTCAATGAAAGGATTCTAGAGGTAAGTCAAAAATCCAATATTCTTATTTGTATAGTACAGGACAAAGGCTTCTTTAATCAAAGACCCTGGGATGTCCCCAAGCAATACAACTGTCCCCAAGCAATACAACTGAAGGGTGGGCAACGAAGCAAACAATGTCAGCAAGCCTACAAGAACCAAAAAGGGCAACAAACTCAAAAAGCAGCCTGAAGCACCTTACAGAAAAAAAAAACTTACAGAAAAAAAAACAACAGATCCCTGAACAACACCTGGTAAAAGTTCACAAATTTATGAACTGAAGACCAGGTGGCAATCTTGCAAATTTAAGAAACAGACAACTAGTGCTGAAAGGTCCACATGGCACTGATAAACCTAGTCCAGTGAGCCTTAAGTAGAAAGGGAGAACCCTGTTGTTTAAGGCATACGCTTTAGTGGTCACCTGCCTAACCCACCTAGCAATGGTGGAAGGACGAGCCTTCAGGCAGGATGAGAAGGTTATCAGATTAACAAATAGAGGCAGTAGCTGAAAAGTACACCCATACTGCCCGTATCAGATCCAAACAGTGCTATGAAATCTCTTTGGGATGCCTTGGAGCAGGGCAAAGAGAAGGCAGGACAATGTATATTTTATTTTTTATATACCAAAATAACTCAGATACATGCACTTTTGGGGCTGCGAAGGGTCCCCTTCATTAGGCTCAGAACGAGCTGATGAAGGGGACCCTGCATGGCCCCGAAAGCGCTTATGTCTGAGTGGCATAATCTGTCAATAAATGGACAGTTTCTGATTGCACAAGTTACTTTGGTGTGCTGGTGACATCTTTGTCAAATCTCTTCAGTTGGGACACAGAAAGCAATAAAAGCACCTTTTTTGCTGGAGTGGAAACTACTAACTAAATATAAAATAAAAAAAGTCAATAATACTTGATTCAGAAATGGGATGTACTTTGCACAAATGGAGTAATTTAATTATACAGTTTATACCCAATAACTGGATTTTTGACTCACCTGTAAAATCATATTCTTAAGGTAAGTACAGCACACAGGCTCCTTTAATCATGTTACATGATTATATGCAGCCACCTTCAGGTGAATGGACATTGGCAAATAGAATTGTGGGATAGCCCATATAACCTCTCCCACTCCCAGCAATCCTCAGTTTTGTAGAAAGCAATGAAAAGAAAACCGCCAGGACAGAAGGGAGTGTCCTGTGTCCGGTGTCCTGTACTGTACTTCAATGAAAGGATTCTAGAGGTAAGTCAAAAATCCAATATTCTTATTTGTATAGTACAGGACAAAGGCTTCTTTAATCAAAGACCCTGGGATGTCCCCAAGCAATACAACTGTCCCCAAGCAATACAACTGAAGGGTGGGCAACGAAGCAAACAATGTCAGCAAGCCTACAAGAACCAAAAAGGGCAACAAACTCAAAAAGCAGCCTGAAGCACCTTACAGAAAAAAAAAACTTACAGAAAAAAAAACAACAGATCCCTGAACAACACCTGGTAAAAGTTCACAAATTTATGAACTGAAGACCAGGTGGCAATCTTGCAAATTTAAGAAACAGACAACTAGTGCTGAAAGGTCCACATGGCACTGATAAACCTAGTCCAGTGAGCCTTAAGTAGAAAGGGAGAACCCTGTTGTTTAAGGCATACGCTTTAGTGGTCACCTGCCTAACCCACCTAGCAATGGTGGAAGGACGAGCCTTCAGGCAGGATGAGAAGGTTATCAGATTAACAAATAGAGGCAGTAGCTGAAAAGTACACCCATACTGCCCGTATCAGATCCAAACAGTGCTATGAAATCTCTTTGGGATGCCTTGGAGCAGGGCAAAGAGAAGGCAGGACAATGTATATTTTATTTTTTATATACCAAAATAACTCAGATACATGCACTTTTGGGGCTGCGAAGGGTCCCCTTCATTAGGCTCAGAACGAGCTGATGAAGGGGACCCTGCATGGCCCCGAAAGCGCTTATGTCTGAGTGGCATAATCTGTCAATAAATGGACAGTTTCTGATTGCACAAGTTACTTTGGTGTGCTGGTGACATCTTTGTCAAATCTCTTCAGTTGGGACACAGAAAGCAATAAAAGCACCTTTTTTGCTGGAGTGGAAACTACTAACTAAATATAAAATAAAAAAAGTCAATAATACTTGATTCAGAAATGGGATGTACTTTGCACAAATGGAGTAATTTAATTATACAGTGCAAAGTACTGTATAACTTTAATTATACAGTGCAAAGTACTGTATAACTTTAATTATACAGTGCAAAGTACTCTCATACTCTAGTCCTACAATCAATCAAAAGTAAACTTTTCTCCATTTACTATCTAACATAATGAAAACTGGAATTACATTTTGTAACTTAATGTAAGTCCAGTTTGAATTATGTTAGACAGTAAGTGGAGAAAACACAAACATTTTCTCCAAACCATCATTTCTAAAAAAGTTACTGAAATGATGACTGTAGATAGAATTGTGGCTTCACTGCAGTTTGCCCATCAAATGAGAAAATTGGTGCTCTTTCCTTTCATCTAGCTTATTGCTTTTGGGGTTATATCCACCAATAATCCGGAGGGGTTTTCTTGCAGTATGGACAAACGGCAAGGGGAACCTGCTATTACTGCATCATATTTTGTCCTGTAAATGCCAGGTCTAAACTGCTAATTCATATACAGGGCTAATAAAGATGTAACAGCTGAGGTACAGAGAAAATCTGCAACACCAGTCAGTACTACTTTTTATTGTTTTTTTACCAAGGGCCAGCCATAACTAGGCTGAAAGCTAACTGTCATATCTGCAGGTGCAATGAGCTGCGAGAAAACTTGCTTCTGTGATTTTTATCTTTAAACTTTAAAAGGTAGAGCTGTGGGCTGCAGCTTCTTCTAGGCTGTGGTGGACCTATCCATATCACCATATCAGGCAATCCTTAAAGACTCATCTCTTCAGGGAAGCCTATCTAGCCTCAACCTAACCAATTAATTTTCACTTCTCAAACAATTCCCTACACAGCTACTACCTTTGTATCACTTGCGCCTCCCTTTTAGATTGTAAGCTCTCATGAGCAGGCCCCTCTATACCATCTTGTCTTGACTTGTATTGTAACTATAATGTTTTCTAATATTGTAAAGCACTGTGAAAACTGTTGGCGCTATACAGTATAAATCCTGTATATTAATAATAATATTGTATGATGAAAAAACTATGATCTCTGTGAAACTTGGTCTTCCTGACAATTCCCTGAATGCCAAAACA